ATTGTACTCCAGCCTGGGCAATGGAGTGAGATTCTGACTCAAAAAAAAAAAAAAAAAAAAATCCTGATGAGCAGAAGAGCAGAAGAAATATCATGACCACACAAAAAGAAGATGTGGGAATAACTCTGATACTATTTATACAAATAAATAGATCAAATGATACAAAGTAGAACATCTGCAGAAGTGCGGAGAGGAACAGGAATTCTGTTTAATATACTGCTTTTATTAAAACAAACAAACAACAAAAAACCTCTGGGTTACCACATGCTGCTTACCTGTTGCTTTCTCGACATTCCTCAGGAATCTGCAACTATCTATTATTTAGCCTTAGATGTGCAAGAATCTGACTGCTCAGTCCTATCCAGGAAACACTGGAAGGACTGTGAACTGGCAGTTTCTAGACGTCCATCTGATACAGTAAGTAAACCAGGTGCCATTCCCCACCTTTGATCCTTCTTCCTTTCCATCCATTCTGCTTACCTGGGGGAGCCGTAAGCCTGGGCTAACACAGCAGAAGAGGAAGAGAAGCTTTGGCCTTGAGACTCGTGAAGATGATGTAGAACCTGAGTAACACTCTTGAGAGCCACTCCCAGGAACCCAGTTCAAGAAACCTCAGCAAGGCTTGTGGTCCCATGGGATAGCATGACCAGCTATGAAATCTTGGGCAAGGGCGGGCTCGGTGGCTCAGCCTGTAATCCCAGCACTTCAGGAAGCCGAGGCGAGTGGATTGCCTGAGCCCACGGGTTTGAGACCAAACCGGGCAACTTGGCGAGACTTCATCTCTACAATAAATTAAAAATTAGCCAGGCATGTTAGCGCGCACCTGTAGTTCTGGCTACTTGGAAGACTGAGACCGAAGGATCGCTGGAGCCCAGCAGGTCAATGCTGGGGTGGCTGTTAGTGCGCCACTGCACTCCAGCCTGGATGACGGAGTGATACTCTAGCGCCCCAAAAAGAAATCTTGCATAAATCACTTGATACCATCTTCAGACTTCAGTCTTTTCAGCTGTAAAATAGGAAGAGGGGTTTGGAGTCACTGGACTCTAAGGTCCTTACCAGCCCTAATGGTCTATGGGTGTAAGAATCTATGAACTTGTCATTGTGTCCTATGAAGCCTGGTCCTAGGGGCAGGAAAGGCCAAAGGGATTGTTTAGTTGGAATAAAGAATCGACACCCACAGGGATTCCATTTGACAAATGAGAAGGTAACTGAAGTTCAGCGAAGGAAAGGTCTTGACAATGTTCACAATGGAGCTGAAATTAAAATTCAGTTTTCCTCATGCACAGTCTGGGGAATTTTTCCACTAGTCATTTACAAATTGATATCCATGTACCTGCAGGAATATTTTATTAATAACATCTGGCATTTGCATGGCGATGCATACTTTATAAAACGCCTCCACATATATTTTTGCCTCATCAGAACCTCATGACAATCCCACTGAGAAGGCAAGCATCTGCTTCCACTTCCCTGTGACTACAGGACCTAGAATTTTAACCACTTGCCTAAGGGCACTTGGCTGGAAAGTGTTAGGACATGATTTTTTTTTTTGAGTTGGAGTCTCCCTCTGTTGCCAGGCTGAGTGCACTGGCATGCTCACAGCCACCACAGCCTCGGCTCAGGTGAACCTTTTGCCTCAGCTGGGCTCAGGTGATCCTTTTGCCTCAGCCTTCCAAGTAGTTGGAACTACAGTTACACACCACCACACCCACCTAATTTTTTGATGTATTGTAGAGATGAGGTCTCGCTAAGTTGCCCAGGCTGGTCTTGAACCCATAGGCTCAGGCAATCTTCTCACCTTGACCTCCCAAAGTGCTGGGATTATAGGCATGAGCCACCACGCCCGGCCTGGACATGGAATTTTAATACAGATTTGAAGTTCAGGATTTTTCTGGGTTTTTCCCCCCCCCCTTGAGGTTTAAAAACACATTCTCTGGGCAGGATAGGGAGGGAGTGTTTACTAGTTCCTTTTCTTGAAAGTTAAAATTTTCAACCTGAACTAGTTCTAGAATCCTGATTAGCGATGACCAGAAAAGACACTTCCCTCTCCTACTACCATTCCCAAGAAACCCTTTACTATCTTTGAGTGCATAATGTAAACTCATGCAAAACAATGGGAGCTGGAGCAGAGGAGGCTCTGGGCTAAGGTTTTACAGCATCATCTCACTTAATTAAGCCCTCCCACAACCTGTGGGTACATAGTATTATTCCCATTTTACCAAGACTAATTTCAGAAATGCTGTGTAACTTCGCTAAATTTATACAACTAATAAATGGTGAAGCCAGGATTAACATAGGTCAGTCTCATTCCAGAACTATACTCAGAAACTTAATGCTTAACAATTTATTCTAGAAAAGAGTCATCCTCTTGTCACCATCTGACTCTGATAGCTGGATTTAGGGCCTTCTCGAGCATAGGAGTGCCAGCCAGTTGTAGCTTTTGGGCTCAGCAGACTCTTACCTTGACATGCAAACACGTGTTTATACTATACAGGCCCTCTCCTTTCCAACACCTTCATCCAATGGACTTGTTAAAGGTGTAAAAATCTTTCTTCTACACCATTGCTCATTCTCTCCAGGCTCAGGAAACTCAGGTTACCAGTGCAGAAAGGTTGGCTAAAGTCGAGGCAGCAGTGACTTGTTATTCCTCACCGCCACCTTTGAGGAAGCCCAGTGCTGGTGCCTGCTCATGGGAGAGGGCCATAGCCTTGAAGTAAAACCCTTTGCAGCTTGTACTTGCCCCAAAGTATAGACTAGGAAACGTAGGTGAATAACCAGTAGGGATATCTGCTAATATTACCCTGATTCTTCTAAAGTCCTTCTTCTTTTCCTGAATGTTTGGAATTTCATAACTCTGGCTAGGCATTCTCACATTGTCTTCACACACACACACACACACACACACAGAGAGAGAGAGAGAGAGAGAGAGAGAGAGAGAGAGAGAGAGAGGCTTCTCTCTCCCTTGTAGGTCTTTGAATTCTGCAAGCAGATTTGTCATATGATATAGGAGCCTCTAACTTGGAAACCCCAAGGATTTTGTCATAAATGGTGAAATCTTCAACCCTGAGGTGGGTTGCTTAAGTAGACTTTCATAAGCATTGTACAACTAAGTGACATTTTTACACATATAGTGCATTTGGTTCTTATAGCTCTGTGTGTGTGTGTGTGTGTGTGTGTGTGTGTGTGTGTGTGTGTGTGTGAGAGAGAGAGAGAGAGGCAGAGACAGACAAAGAACAGATACTGAGATAACTGACCCTGGGGAAAAAGCAATTGCTGATATAACACAAAAAACATGAAAATATTTCTAAGAACTAGGGAAGGGTAATATTTGGCAAAAAATAAAAAATAAAGTCATGATCAATTCAATCAGCCCTGAATGAATGTGAAAATTATCCCTACAGTCAGAACTCCAGTGCTGAGACTTGGTAATTCCTATCTTTTATTATTAGGCATAGAATGTAAGGGGGATGAAGTAGCCTCATTTACTGTCGAAAGGCATATAAAATAAAATGCAAAAGCTTTGTTCTTTTCTCTGAGCAAGAAGATTTTCTTCACAGAATTCTTTATATTAGAAAAAAAACCCCTGAAGTTTAGCCAAACATCTATGTCCCACACCAAAAAAAGAAAAAAAAATTTCACCATGAACATGGCTACATAGATTATTTATTTATTGTATTTTTTTATTGTTTAGTTTTGGTTTTGTTCTGTTTGCTTGTTTTGTTTTTGAGTCAGGGTCTTACTCTGTTGCTTGATTTTTTAAAAATTAAAGCCTGAGTTGGGCACAGTGGTTCACACCTGTAATCTCAGCACTTTGAGAGGCTGAGGTGGCAGGATCACTTGAGATCAGGAGTTTAAGACCAGTCTGGGCAACACAGCAAGACCTCATCTCTACAAAAAAAAAAAAAGGAAAAAAATTAAAGTCTGAACAAGGAAGAGAGTGAAGAAGCTATGTGTTTATCCTTTAGGAATGTGGGGTATTGAAAACATAAAGTCTCAGAACTCTGTTGAGAATGTCAGTTATAAGGCACTAGTTTTCCAGGTATTGGTCTACTGATGGATGTCATACCATAATTGAGTTTTGCCACATTGTGGTGAAATGAGAAAAATAAAGACAGTAAAGTTTTATGACTGGCTTTGATGGAAAAGGGTTCTGTTTTTCCAACCTGCCTTGAGGAAGCAAAATTCTAGTTTCTATGACCTGCTCTGGGACAGGAAGGGGAATAGGAGGAAGAAGGATCAGAGAAAGCCAGAAAGAGACTTTGCTCCTGAGGCCCTTTAAATGTCCTTCAGTTCAAAGTACTCAGCATGCCAACATGCCAGCTCAGGTCACCAGTGCAGAAGGCCCTAACTCCACCAAACCAGAAATAGGAAGCCAGGATAGGAATGCAACTTTGGGCTGTTGTTTTCTGAGCCCTGACTCCACCAAACCAGAAATAAGAAGCCAGGATAGGAATGCAGGGCTTCGCTCATTCCATCTCTTCTTATGCTTCTCTACCTCCTCCACCCTGGGGAGCATTTTCCTTTACAGAACTGCTGCAGTTGACCAGAAAAAGACTGGCATGGTCGGAGACCAGATAGGATGCCCATATTTTATTTTCAGTAGGGCCAATATCTTGGGTGGAACTCCTAAACTCACTGGATGCCCCGTGCATGAGTGTCTTAGGCATGCAGTATAATTCACAGCAGCCTGCTTCTGCGCAGAGATCCTGCAAAGACTTTTTATGTAAAAGGTGTCTGCACATTGTCCTCATTGTTTACACAAGTAGTGACCTTCATAAATAGCTTTGCAAAAGTCCCAAGGAAACAACTGAGTGAGCTGGTGCTTTCCTCTACTCCTTTATTAGCTTCTGTTCTGATTTGCTACTCAAATTTGTGCAATCTCCAGGAAATGTGCTCTGTGCTCCCACGTGCTTTTTGAATGCAAGTGAGCAGGTTAATAACCCCAGTGTTGCAATGCTGTGGCCTTAAATCTGCTTAAATAACCTGGCAGAGGCATTTGACCTCTTGGAACAGGGCAAGTCGTGTATGGCAGCAAGAATCCAACCAGGACCCTGAGTGCTGGGGCAAAGAGAAGGGGACAGAGGAGACAAGAAGCTGAAGGCTGCCAAAATCACCATTCCAATTGGCTCCTGATTCCTGGTGAATCCATCCCTCAGCTAATAGAGGGAGAGTGCTAAATCATGAAACTAATTGCCATCTTTTTCCTCTGCTCCAGGCTGCTACCAAGTTTAACCCAGGAACCGGTGTCCGAGGAAATGGACTGCAATGACGAGGATTTATTTAAAGCTGCAGATGCTGCTCTGAAGAAATACAACAGTAGAAGCAAAAGTGGCAACCAGTTTGTATTGTACCGCATAACTGAGGCCACTAAAACGGTGAGTGAGCTGTTTTTAACCTTGAAGTCACTTGGGATTTGTGCTATCACTAGAAGCTCAAGTCTGTTGCTCTTGCTCTCGCTCTCACTACACACACACACACACACACACACACACACCCCAAAGAACTCATAATCAAAGGTAGAAGTATACAGCTCTTAGAAAAGGCCAACACCACTGTCTGTCCTGCAGGTGAAGGGCAAGGTATGACTTGTCCTTGGGCCATCAAGGTAAAATGTGTCTCCATCAGGTAGGAGACAAATCCTGGCCAGATGTATGATTCATCTTTCAAGAGTATGTTTAAATTAATCTCACTGTAAGAGACTATATCTCTGAAATAGTTGAGTAATTGGTTGCTTCAATGGAAAATAAAATCCTAACCTCATGACATCACAAGGATAAAGGAGAAAAACTATGGGACAAATTATTGTTTTCTGAAAGTAAAATTGAGCCATTTTGTTTCATAATCTATTATAGTCCATAATGTAGTCATGCAAGAAATTCTGCTTCCTGGTGCTCTCAAGCAACCATTTATTGGTGGTATCTTCACTAGCTGGCATCCATGGAAAATATGGTTTTTGTTCTAAAATGTCTGTATACCCATCTTTTAATCTTTACATTGCCATGTGGGCATAACTTTCACCACCTCTTGCTTTCTAGGCCCACATTATCAAAATGGAAAGAACCTTGGAGACTATCTCTTGTTTGACTCCATGAACTCCCAGATACAAATACTGTGACCAAGCAGGCTCTGAGAAAACACTACTCTGAACATCAGGAAACCAGGGAACTGGGCCTGGCTCTGCCTCCTGGGATTGTGGGGCTGCCTAAGCCATACCCTGACCTCTCGGGGCCTCCCTGCTCTTAGCTGCAGCATGATAACATCACCTCCCAGGTCCCTTACTTCTCTGACATGCCAGGATTTTCTATCTGAAAGCTCATCTAACTCAGCATCTCTGTACTTTAAAACTTACGATTGGAAGACATCTTAGAAAAATTAGATCAGTCATAAAAAGGAAAAAAGTGCTGATACAATCCTATGACATGGCCAAACCCTGAAAACATAATGCAAAGTGAAAAAAACCGAAACAAAGAACACTTGTATGATTCCATTGATATGAAATGTCTAGAATAGGTACATAGGGACAGAAAGTACTAAAGGAATACTTGAGGTTAGGAAAAAGAAATAAAGTAGATTACTGGTTGAGGGCTGGAGGCAAGGGAAAATGGGTAATAACTGCTAATGCGTTTCTTTTGCACGTGATAAAATGGTCTAAAATAGATTGTGGGTATGATTATAAATATACTAAAAAAATTTAATTTGTGCACTTTAAATGGGTGAATTGTATGGCATGTGACTTATATCTCAATAAAGCTGTTGAGAAAAAAAGAAAAATTAGGAAATAAAACAAAGCAAATAAAAATACTAAAATCATTCATAGTTAATTTCACCATACAGAAATAACTTTTTCAAGTTCTCTTATTTGTTTTTTCTAATTATAAAAGTAATAGATATTCATTAGGGAAAGAAGTCAGACCATTTAAAAACAAGCGTTCAAAGAAGAAAGCAAAGATAATTATAATTCTACCACTGAGAGGTAAACATTTTAACAACTTGCTGCATATCTCTCCAGACCTTTAAAAGACATATATGAACACAAATCGATTTTTACAAAACTAGTAGTACTATGAATACTACTTTGTAACCTTTAAAAAAAATTGCAAGTATATTTTGAAGATTCTTCTAAGCAAACATTTAAAATACTTACAAAAATACAAGGGTGTATATATATATATATATATATATATATATATATATATTTTTTTTTTTTTTTTTTTTGAATTGGAGTCTCACTCTGTTGCCCAAGCTGGAGTGCAGTGGCATGCTCAGGGTCACTGCAACCTCAACCTGCTGTGCTCAGTCTTCCAAGTAGCTGGAGCTACAGGCACACATCACCACGTCCAGCTAATTTTTAAATTTATTGTAGAGATGAGGTCTCACCAAGTTGCCCAGGCTGGTCTTGAACCCCTGGACTCAAGCAATCCTCTCACTTTCACCTCCCAAAATGCTGGGATTATAGGCATGAGCCACTGTAACCAGTCTTATTTATATTTTTAATGAATACTTTGGTCTTATTAAATCAACTCAAGATCAACATTCATAACTTTACCAGAACACACTCAAATTATTTACTGTTAAGTCAACCGTATGAATTCTAAATATCTTTGGTTGCTTTTTTCAGGTTAACCCTGAAATATTTTATTCCTTAAAATACCAAATCAAGGAGGGTGACTGTCCCGTTCAAAGTGACAAAACCTGGCAGGATTGTGGCTACAATGAAGGTGCAGAAGCGGTAAGTGTTTTGATGATCCTGAAGCCTCCAGTTTTCTCTGTCAAGCCTGCCAGATTTTTTTTTTTATTTAGGCAGGGATGATTAATACTGGGGAGACCATTTAGGAGGAATGTGTAAAAATGTTCCAATGTGTAGAAAAATAAGATGCAGCCAGGTGCAGTGGCACAAGCCTGTAATCCCAGAACTCTGGGAGGCCAAGGTGAGAGGATTGCCTGAGCCCATGGGTTCAAGAATAGCCTGGGCAACTTGGCGAGGCCTAGTCTCTACAATAAATCAAAAAATTAGCCGGGTGTGGTAGCATGCACCTGTAGTTTCAGCTACTTGGAAGGCTGAGGTGGAAGAATCGCCTGAGCCCAACAGGTCCAGGCTGCGGTGACCGTGAGCACGTCACTGCACTCTAGTCTGGGTGACAGAGTGAGACTCCAACTCAAAAAAAAAGAAAAATCAGATGCATGGTACCTGTGTTCTTGCATAGACAGAAAACTCGTGGAGAAGCCAACAGTTAAACATGAAGAAAGCCCTCCCATGAGACTGCGGCTCTAGTGGCCAATCAGGACATCTGGGTCAGAGAGACAACAGATCAATATTTGGGCTAAGCTGAAGGGATGGCGAGAGGAGAGCATGAGTGCTTCAACTGCACAGTCTTGAAAGCAAATCTTGACTCTACCTCCAATTAGCTGTATGATGGCAGGCAAGATGCTCACCCTCCATGAGCTCTCCCTTGTAAAAGGGAGATAATATTGGCCTTACCAAGTTTTTGAAGGAAGAACTGAGATACACTATGTAAATGACCTTGTTAACTGTGACTATCCTACCCAGATGCCTACTATGTATGCCTGGCATACCACAACTGGTTGTTTATCCTTAATTATGGGATCCTGCGGGCAATATCTGCTTCAGAAGCAAGCCTCTCTTTTCACAGTTCATATATTTGCTTCTTTTCGGTCAGCACATAAAAGATGACCCCAGTTATCTGCAATTACAAAAGAGCACTGGACTCTGAATCAGGAGACCAGGATTTTGTGGTGCTGGTTCTACTTCTCAGTGAGCTCATCTGTCAGGTGGGGATAATTAGCTGCTGTGCCCTGTGCTACCTGCCTCAGAGGGGCTATGCCGATGAGGAGAGATGTGCTTTATCCTGATAGAATAGTGTCTGTCCCTTAGAAGTCCAGTGAGTGTGACTAAAGAATGACAAGACAAAATAAAACAAAAAGGACTGTTCAACAATAAAACAATTAGCAGCTGCCTATTATTAAGTGCCTACTATGTGGTGGACCTCTGCTCGTTACTTTATGTGTGTTTGCACATTCACTCTTCACAACAACCCTGTGCAATCGACTTGGCATGCCTCCTGAAAGATGGGTAAACTGAGACTCCGAAAAGCAAAGGAACTTGACGGAGGTAACAGCTAGCAAGTGGCTGGAACTGGGTGACATTTTGATGTCAAGGTCCTCTGATTGCTCTTTCTAATAAGTTAAACTGAAATTTATGTGAGTAGTATTAGCCCACTGAAATTGGGAGGTATACCGGGAGGAGGGTTCAGCAGGTGGATTTGAAGGCACTGAGAACATCTTGGGGAAAAGAAATATTCCCAGTGCTTTGAAACAAAGATTCGAGCTTAAAAAACTCACCATTCAGCCAGGCATGGTGGCTCATGCCTGTAATCTCAGCACTTTGTGAGGTGAAGACTAGAGGATTGCCTGAGTCCAAGGGTTCAAGACAACCTAGGCAACTCGGCGAGACCTCATCTCTACAATAAATCAAAAAATTAGCCAGGCATGGTCACGTGTGCCTGTGGTTCCAGCTACTTGGAAGGCTGAGGAGGAAGGATCACCTGAACCTAGCAAGTTGAGGTTGCAGTGGCACGCTCAAGGCTATCGCACTCCAGTCTGGGTGACAGAGTGAGACTCCGACTCAAAAAAAAACAACTCACCATTCATACTATCTTTTCTCTAACATCCCATGAATGACAGTGGCTTATAAAGTAAATAATCTTCAGGCTACAAAAACTTTTGAAACTTCCCATGTTTCAAAACTCTTTTGGATAAAATCTTCACAAGTGTCTTTTATTTTTAAAGGAAAGTCATATTTGACAATAGTACTAGGAGGACTTTTACATCTGAAAGGTCAGGATAGATGATCTATTTTCTTCTTAGGCCACAGGAGAATGCACGGCAACTGTAGGGAAGAGGGAGAATGAAAAGTTCGTCGTGGCTACGCAGACCTGCCAGATTACTCCAGGTAGCTGATGTATCCGGTGGCACTGCCCTGGGAGGAAACTAACCTTTTCTGTGTGCCAGAATATTCTCTTTCTTCCTATGCCTACTAGGATTTACTGGAAAATTCGTTAACGAGGGCCTTCTAAATTATCTTCTCTGCATAAGGCAGTGTATCTGAATGCTGATTTCGATCATTAACGCTGCCTTTCTGTCTGTTCTTTGTTAAGCCGAGGGTCCTGTGGTGACAGCCCAGTATAACTGCCTGGGCTGTGTGCATCCCATATCAACGAAGAGCCCCGACCTGGAACCTGTGCTGAGACACGGCATTCAACACTTTAACAACAACACTCATCATTCCCACCTCTTTGCTCTTAGTGAAGTAAAACAGGCCCAAAGACAGGTTTGGTCTTTAAATTGTTTATGTCACACAGTATTGTTAAAATATGTTAGATCTTTACGTTTGGGATTTCATTGCCTAAAATAAACTATGGGCCATGATGGCGAGGAGTTCTTCTACATTTTCTTTCTTTTCTTTTTTTTTTTTGACCTGGAGTCTCACTTTGTCCCCAGCCTGGAGTGCAGTGGCATGCTCATGGCTATGACAGCCTTGACGTGCTGGGCTCAGGCGATCTTTCCGCCTCAGCCTTCCAAGTAGCTGGAACCACAGGCATGCACTACCTTGCCTGACTAATTTTTTTTTATTTATTGTTAGCGACGAGGTCTCACCATGTTGCTCAGGCTGGCCTCGAACCCCTGGACTCAGGCAATCCTCTTGCCTCTGCCTCCCAAAGTGCTGGAATTACAGGCATGAGCCACCACACCTGGCTTCTTCTATGTTTTCATATGACTGCACAGAAAGCAAAAGGCTTTCTCTTTAGTCAAAATGACTGGGATAGTGCAATATGTAAACAGAAAAAGATGGCTCATCAGACTTCCTCCCTTTGAAGTTTGTTTTTAGCAAACAGGTAGTCAACATTACATGTTCTTCCAGAAATGGTAAAATGAAAAGTCATGCTGGCCTTAAGATTTTAAGAAAACAATATCAGCAACTAGCTATCATGAGTTAAACATAGCTCCAAAATATTAAACGATGTCAAAAATGATTGGCATGGCTGGACCTGGTGGCTCATACCCATAATCTCAGCACTTTGGGAAGTGGGAGGATGGCTTGAGGTCAGGAGTTTGAGACTACCCTGGACAACATAGCAAGATGCCCCATCTCTATTAAAAAAAGGGAAAAAAGCCAGTCTCGGTGACTTAGCATGTAATCCCAGCACTTTGGGAGGCCCAGGTGAGTGGATTGCCTGAGCCTGCAGGTTCGAGACCAGCCTGGGCAACTTGGCAAGACTTCATCTCTACAATAAATGAAAATAATTAGCTGGGCATGGTAGCACATGCCTGTAGTTCCAGCTACTAGGAAGGCTGAGGTGGAAGGATCGCCAGAGACCAGCAGGTTAAACTTGGGGTGGCCATGAGCATGCCGCTGCACTCCAGCCTGGGTGATAGAGTGAGACTACAACTCAAAAAAAAAAAGAAGAAAAAGAAAAAAACAAATGGTTAGCATGATGTTCTGGGTACCTCCTAAATTAGAGTTCCCGTATCATCAGGGAGAAAAAGGTAAATACCTGTAAATCTGGTCTTTTTATTGATTCTGTTCATTCAGCCTTTTCTGATAGTTGACTAGGTCCCTTGTATTTCAGCCTCTCATTATGAGTAATTCACTTTAGTCAGTCGCATTTTGCACACTTAATAGATCTTGCAGTTTGCTTTTGTGTGAGATACAGGTTTTACTCAATTAAGTCCATATACAGCTATTGGGGTGGGACCAACCCAGAATAAAGCAGAAGAAATCTTATTGCCTAGTGAACTGGGAGCCTGAGGACCCAGCAGTAAAAGCCACTCCCTACCAAAGTTTACTTTATCCATCTAGAAGAGCATTATTATTTCAGGAATTTCCATGAAACATTTTCTCTCTGCAGCCTGGCAGAGGAAATATTGTTTAGGTCTTAATTAAGGAAGTACAGTAACTTCATGTATATATTGCTTTTCATTTTCAGATGGATGGGGTGTGTGTGTGTGTGTGTGTGTGAAATGTAAGAGTCTTAAGGTGCTCAATATTTATTCAGTAATATTTTTGCCTTGTAGGAATAATCGTTTATATTTACTGGGCTCCTATCATATGCCACATAGTGTTCTAAACTCCTGGTGATATTTATATCTCATGGTGAATAATGTCTAAAATGTCCTTTTAAATAGTCAATCCAAAATTGTTTCAGGTGGTGGTTGGATGGAACTTTAAAACTACCTACTCAATCGTGCAAACTAATTGTTCGAAGGAGAATTTTCTGTTCTTAACTCCAGACTGCAAGTCCCTTTCGAATGGTGTAAGTAGGCAAAAGTGTAATTATAAAGTTCCTAGCATTTTGTTCACAGTTTTTGTAAGTATAGGAACTATCAAGCTGTGTGGGAAAGCTGTCACTAAAATTTTGAAGACATTCAGCAATTCAAACTCACAATCACTTAGGAAACATAAAGCTCACCTCACTAGTTGAGCTGCCTCACCCACCTGGTCAAAGAATCTGCACATCTAGCATTATGTATTTACAGAGTGTAACCAGGTCTAGGAATAGCCTGAGAAAAATGAGGAAATCACCCAGTCTGTTTTTATTATGTCTTCACACTTTTCTGTCTCCTTTTTTCCCAAATGCCATTATACCCTTTACACTCAGTACCTTTATGGCATATCCTAACTCTACCCAGGACAATTCCTCACTTTAAGCTTTTCTTTGCTTATTTTTCCATTTTCCCTCCCCTCCCTTTATCTTTCATTAACACCTCCTGAGTTTCTGTCCCTTAGTGATCCTTCTTTGGATGATATCTTGTTACGTGAGCCAAAATTATGTTAAAATGGTATATCTTAAGGAAGCAGTGACTAGTGAATGTTAAGATAGCTAAAACATGATAAGTCCCAGGGATATTTGCATGTGAGCAGAATATTTTACCCACAGTGGGTAAGATTTAAGGCCTTGCTATTCAAAATGTGTTCCATAGACCAGCAGCACCAGGGAGTTTGTTGAAAAAGCAGAATCTTGACCAGGCACAGTGGCTCATGCTTGTAATCCCAGAACTTTGGGACGCTGAGGAGAGAGGACTGCTTGAGCCCAGGAGTTGAAACCAGCCTAGGCATCATAGTGAGACCTTGTCTCAATAAAAAATTTTTTAAAAATTTTTATACAGGCATGGTGGCACATGCCTGTAGTTCCAGCTACTTGGGAGGCAAGAGTAGAAGAATTGCCTAAGCCCAGGTCGAGGCTGCTGTGAGAGCCATGGTCATGCCACTGCACCCCAGCCTGGGCAACAGAGTGAGGCTCTAACTCAAAAGAAAAAGAAAAAAATAAAAAAGCAGAATCTTGAATTCTACCCACCTATTGAATGAGAATCTGCATATTAGCAATACTCCCAGATGATTTGTGTGTGCACCTTAAAGCTGTAAAAGCACTGACTGAAGAGGTTTCATAAGTGGTTTTCTCAGTCCATACGGCATATTAGAATCACCTGGCTAGCTTTCTTTCTTTCTTTTTTCTTTTTTTTTAAGTGAGTAAGCAGGATTTATTGAGAGGACAAAGAAGCTCCCATAAGTGGGAGGGAACCCAAAGATATGGCCCCTCCTGTCTAACTTTCTAAAATACCTATTCCTAAGCCATTGCCTCAGATTCACTGAATGGTCTGAAATGGGTCTGCGGAATCAGAATGATCTAAAACCTCCTCAGTGAATCGAGTGTGCTATAGAATTAAGAACTGCTGGGCTACTCCCGGTAGCTTTCCCCTATCCAAAATTATGGTATTATAAGTGTGGTATTCTCTATATCTTTTTTAAAAAAGGCATTTATTATATATGTATTTCTTTATTGGAAATGCACATATTCTGTGCATATTAAGTACGTAATATTATTAAAAACTTCAAGACAATGCAGAAACATAGGGGAATGAAATATCAAACCACATACCCAAAGACATCTTATTGTATTTCCCTTCTGTTTATTTTATTTTATTTTTTTCATGGACGGAGATTATAGGCAATTTTTAACGATTTTTTTCTTTTAACGGTTGTGATTATTTTACATGCTACTTTTCTTTTCTTTTCTTTTTTACATGCTACTTTTCTTTCACCTAAGAATTTTCCCATGTCATTAAAACTCTTGGTAAGCTTCTTTTTATTTTTATTTTTTAAAATTTTTTCCCTTCTCTTATGAAGAGGAGGTGAGCTTTTTAAATAATCATTTAAAGTTTTAGTGAAGATACTATAGATTATTATTATTATTATTATTATTTTATTTTGAGTCAGAGTTTCACTCTGTCGCCCAGGCTGGAGTACAGTGGCATGCTCACAGCCACCACAACCTTGATCTGCCTGGCTCAGGTGATCCTTCTGACTCAGCCTTCCAAGTAGCTGGAACCACAGGCATGCACCACTGCATCCAGTTAATTTATTAATTTTATTGTAGAGATGAGGTCTCGCCAAGTTGCCTAGGCTAGGCTCAGGCAATCCTCTCGCCTTCACCTCCCAAAGTGCTGGGATTATAGGCATGAGCCACTCCTCCCAGCTGATTATTTTTTAATTATGCTCTTATTTTTGGACATTTGGATATTTCCATTTTTATTGTAAGTAATAACTCCCCAAACATTTTAAGGAATAAAACTATTTCTGTGTTTCGTATTTCTTCTTCAAAATTAAAATACCAGCTTTACATATGGTATTTACATATGGTATAAACTCATATAAAAGCTTTTCAGACTTGATGTATATAGGCTGTTTGCCAAAGTGCATCAATTTACATTCTACCAGCAATGTATACCTTTTATAGAATTTAGTATTTTTTTAAAAATTTAACCAAGCATGGTGTCTCATGCCTATAATCCCAGCACTTTGAGAGGCAGTGGTGAGAGGATTGCTTGAGCCCAGGAGTTCGAGACCAATCTGGGCAACTTGGCAAGACCTCGTCTCTACAATAAATAAAAAAATTAGGTGGGCATAGTGGCACATGCCTGTGGTTCCAGCTGTTTGGAAGGCTGAGGTGGAAGGATCACCTGAGCCTAGCAGTTGGAGGCTGCAGTGACCATGAGCACTCCAGCCTGGGTGATAGAGTGAAACTCCAACTCAGAAAAAAAAACCTGAGATTTGCCTGTACCAGGTCTTTCTGGCATGAATCTTCCTTTTTCCCTTTTTCTTACTAATAAACTCTGTTCTAAAACTAAAAAGAAAAAAAAGCTTAGTTAATTTCATAGAAAAAATAGTTTTAGTTTTCATTTTGTCAATCAGCAATGCAGTTAATATGCATTTATTGAACCACTTGTTAAAAACTCAGCTTCATCAGTGATGGAGAATTAAAATCCTTCGCAGAAAGAAAAAATAAAGAGAGAAATGTATGGGTTGAATTTATGAATTGTCTTCTACATCCTTTACTCATTTCTCTTTGGGAAGAGTTTTAATTAATTGGAAAAAAAGAATTTAAATATTAAAGATATTTTCTTAGTTTTTACCTTTCAGTTTCCATTGTGGTACTCCTGACTTATAAATAACTTTCATTTATAGGTGACCAAATCTACCATTATTTTCCTTTTGAATTTTTCACTATTTGCTCAGCAATTATTTTGTTTCATTTTTCCTAGTTTGTCTAAGGATATGGTTTTAAAATATAGCTTTTAAACCTACCTGAAATTAATTTTGATGTATCTTGTGAGATATCTAACTTAATTTTTTTCAAGAAAATAACCAGATTTCTCAAAATTCTTCTTTCTTCATAAATTTGTGACAAGTTTTATCTCAAAACAGTTTCTTTCTTTTTTTTTTTTTCCCATAACAGTTTCTTACAAAAGATCTGTTCTCTGGATTTGTACCAGCATCATTATGTTTTCTTAAATTTTTGTTTTTAATTTTTTTATTTTAAAAATGTGATACAGTTCAGGGTTAGGTATACAAATGTTCATTATGCTGGTACCCTTGTTAATGAGGTGTGCCCCACCCGCTACAGTTTCCCACTACTACCCTGCCAATCCCTTCTTATAGTATTATGATAATTGTTCAAGGTCCAAACACCATTATGGTGTTTTCATTTTAAAGATGTGGGGTACAATTTAGGATTAGGTATACAAATGTTCATTATGCAAGTACCCTTGTTGGTGAAGTGTGCACCACTGTGTTTTAACAGCTTCATATTATGCTTAAATATGTGATTTATTATCCTAATGTTTATTTATTATTTTTACCGCTACACTGACAAGGATATTCTAGTTTTTATCTTCAAAACTAACCTTAGAATAATACGTTTGTAAGAAAAGCCTACATTGTTATATTGATTTGAATTGCATTATGTTTCTAAATTAATTTGAGAATTGGCATATATGCTATATTTAGTCTTTTTAGTCAAAAATTTGATATGCCTCTCTACTTAGTAAACTTTTATTTTATACTTCTAATGTTGTATCATTTTCTTTATATATAACCAGAATAAGTCTCACCAAAATTATTTCTAGGTTTTGTTGGTTTTTATTTGGTTTGATTTGGTTCGGTTATTGTTGTTAGGAATCAAATCCCTTTGTTTCCATTCTTATTTTATTCTCTTTTTAATAAGTTATTATTATTTTATGTAAATGTGTCTTTTTTATGGGTTTACCTTATATCTTGCAATTTAACTGAACTCTTTGATCTACTCTAACAAATGTTTATTGATTTGTTTCATTGTTCTAGGTATATAATTATATCTTATGCAAATAATACTTTTATCTCCTTTTTTCCAATGCTTTTTTTTTTGTTCTATGTCTCACTGAACTAACTTAAACATTCAGAGTTTTGGTTTGTTGTTTGTTTGTTTGTTTGTTTTTGAAATAACAGTGATCACAGACGTTTGTGTTTTATTCCTGATTATATTGGGAAAGAAAATTTAGAATTTTCTGCAATTTTGTCATTATGTATACAATTTGCTGTGAATTCCATGTAGACTTTTTTTTTAATTATCACCTTCTTTGGGAATGACACAAAGATTCTTTATCATGTTAAGGAAGCATCCTTACATTCCTGCCCTTTATTTTATTATTTTATTTTATTTTTTGAGCCAAAATCTCACTCTGTCATTCAGGCTAAAGTGCAGTGACTCAATCAAGAATCACTGCAGCCTTGACCTCCTGACCTTAGGCAATCCTTCCTCTTCAGCCTTCCAAGTAGCTGGGACTACAGGGACACAGCAGCACCCCTAGCTAATTTAAAAATTTTTTTTGTAGAGACGAGGTCTCGCTATATTGCCTAGGCTAATCTTGAAGTCCTGGGCTCCAGCAGTCCTCTTACCTTGGTCTCCCTAAGTGCTAGGATTTTCGACATGAGCCAGCACGCCCAGTCATTCATGTTTTTTTTTTTTTTGAGTTGGAGTCTCACTCTGTTGCCCAGGCTGGAGTGCAGTGGCATACTCATAGCCACCCCAGCGTCAACCTGCTGGGCTCTGGTGAACCTTCCGCCTCAGTCTTCCAAGTAACTAGAACTACAGGCATGCACGTCCATGCTCGACTAATTTTTGATTTATTGTAGAGAGAGGTCTCACTAAATTGCCCGGGCTGGTCTCGAACCCGCGGGCTCAGGCAACCCACTCACCTCGGTCTCCTAAAGTGCTGGGATTACAGGCTGAGCCACCGAGTCCAGCCCATTCCTGTTCTTTAAAGAGTTTTGCTGTTGTTTCCTCTTCCCCCTTTTCAAAAATAATGTGTGTTGAACTTAGCATTATATATTAAAATATCATATTATGTTTTGACAACTTTCCTAATAGTAATCTCTAGATTTCCAGACTCAATTCTATTTGTTTAGTATAAATTATTCTTTATATATGCATTTGGATTATATTCCTAATTTATTTAAGAATTCTAAATCAACATTTATAAGTGAAAGTTGTTTACAGTCTTCTGTGTGTGTACATGGCTTTTTTTCAGGTTTTAGTATTCAGATTATAGTGTTTAATAGAATGAGTTGGAGAGTTTGCCATTATTTTCAATATTCAGAAATAGTTCATATAGCATGGAAATATTTTTAATTTTTAAAAGTATTCATCTATAAAATGTTTGTGTTTTTTGAAGGTGTGAAGTGGGATGGAACTTGAGAGTAAAGATGATATTCTCTATTCTTTATCAATCATTGGTCCATTCAGGTTTTCTTCTTGATATTAAATCAATTTTGATCATTTATAATTTTTCAGAAGTGTCCATTTCTTGGAGATTTAAATTAGCATATACTTGTGTATCTGCTAATACATTTTATACTTCTCTGAATGTTTACTATGTTGCCCTTTTTATGCATTTGATTTCTTTTTCCTTACTCCAAGGAGGATCATTGGATGTTTTTGTGAACGCTAATGCTTTCTGTTTTTTATTTTATCAGGTTTGTGTTGTTTTGGTTTTGTTTTTGTTTTGAGTCGGAGTCTCACTCTGTTGCCCAGGCTGAAATACAGTAGCCTGCTCACGGCCACCGCAACCTCGATCTGCTGGGCTTAGGTGATCCTTCTGCCTCAGCCTTCCAAGTAGCTGGAACTACAGGCTATCTTCTCAGTTTTGCTATTATCTTTGTTGTTTTCTCTTTCTTGCTTTTTTTTTGTTTATTATTCTTTTTTCCTCCCTAACTTCCTAAGTAAGTATGGAATTTTTTTTTTTTTTTTTTCTTTTGTGTTTAAATTATGAAACGTGTAAAGCCATTAAATTACTCTGAATGGTTTCTGGCAACATTATATGGAATTTTCATTTTAAAAAATTTTTTCCTTATCCAAGAAAGATCATAATTTTTTAGGCAAATGTGTTTATATTTCCAAATACATAGTTTTTTGTTTAATCTTATATCATTAATTTTTAGGGGGCTTTTTTTGTCCTAAGATCAAAGAACATGGCCTGTACTGTTGCTGCTTTGCAAAATTTGTTGAATCTCTTTGAGACCTAGCATGAAAGCAATCAATATTTTTATATTTGTATGACTCTTATGAAAGTATTATTTTAAATCGCATGCATCATATTAAAATACCATTTAAATAAATCTTTATTGTGTTATTCAAGTCTTCCAGGCCTTTTTTTTTTATCCACTTGCCCTTCTTAGATTTGTAGTTGCATACTAAATTTTCTTGCCATGTTTACTTTTATCCATTTTTATTCTTATATGCAATGTTTTCTTTTTTTTTTTTTTTTTTTTAGTTGGAGTCTCACTCTGTCACCCAGACTGGAGTGCAATGGCTCTTCCCGGCCACCGCAGCCTCGACCTGCTGGGCTCCGGCGATCCTTCCGCCTCAGCCTTCCGAGTAGCCGGAATTACAGGCATGTGCTACCACGCCCGGCTGACTTTTTGATTTATTGTAAAGATGAGGTCTCGCTGCCCAGGCGGGTCTCGAACCCACGGGCTCAGGCAGTCTACTCACCTCAGCCTCCCAAAGGCGCGGGATTACAGGTTGAGCCACCGAGCCCGGCTTGCAATGTTTTCTAGTTTATATATTTTGATTCCATGCCTTCTAGTCTGTCTTTAAAAAATACAATTACTTTTTTCTGTCTTTGAGTTTTTTTGTTACCTTGAATTTTACTTTGTCCAATATTATTACTACTCTAGCTCATTTTTTGTTTATATTTGACTCATATAGCTTTGCTTATCCCTTATTTTTAAGCTTTATTTATCATTTTATTATGATTCTTGAAACTGTAACAAATTGATTTTGTTTAACTTAATCTGAAAGTCTTTGTCTTTTGTTGTTGTTGTTTTTGCTTTTTGAGTTGGAGTCTCACTTTGTAGTCCAGGTTGGAGGGCCATGGCATACTCGCAGCCACTTCAGCATTGACCTGCTGGGTTCTAGCGATCCGTCCGCCTCAGCCTTCCTAGTAGCTGGAACTACAGGAGTGTGCTACCATGCCTGGCCAATTTTTGATTTATTGTAGTGATGAGGTCTCACCAAGTTGCCCTGGCTGGTCTCAAATCCATGGGCTCAGGCAAACCACTCGCCTCAGCCTCCCAAAGTGCTGGGATTACAGGCTGAGCCGCCAAGCCCGGCCATCTTTGACTTTTAAAAGAAAAATTTACCGTGTTACTTATATGATATTTTTTAAATATAATTTTGCCGTGTCACCCAGGCTGGAGTGCAGTGGCATAGTCACAGCTCACCACAGCTTCATCCTCCTGGGTTCAGGTGATCCTCCTGCCTCAGCCTCCACAGTAGCTGGGATTATAGGCATGTCATGCCCAGCTAATTTTTAAAACTTTTTTGTAGAAATAAAGTCTCACTATGTTGCCTAGGCTGGTCTCACACTCCTGGGCTCAAGTAATCCTCTTGCCTCAGCTTCCCAAAGTGCTGGGATTACAGGTATGAGCCACCATGCCCAGCTACTTATATGGTTATTTCCCTACTTGTTATTCTTGTCATCTTATTTCATGTTTCTGTGTGTCATTACATATGTATGTGTTTGTTGTTATGATTGACCCTATTGACAAAGTGTATCTTGTTCTTTGTTTTGCCATAAGACTATGTTTTGTTTCTTTTTCTTCCTATGCAATGACTTGGAAAGTATTATTTTTAATTTTACTAGTTGCCTATTTTTAAAATCCTTTAAAATGTTTTTAATGTATGCATTATATGCTTTTTGAAAACTAGGAGACTGGCGAATGTATAGATAATGCATACATGGATATTCACCTAAGAATTGCTTCCATCTCACAGAACTGTGAACTTTATCCAGGTGAGAGAGAGCATATGTTCATACCCCAATCATGAAATAGTAGTCCCACACAACTGTCTGGGGCTTTTCATCTAAATTGTGCTTTGGTTCCCATGATAGACCACAAATCTGTGTAACCTATGAACTTTGATCAGAATATCACACCCCTCCCCTGCCTCGTTATGCTGCAGCTGGTGCAACTGAGACTGCCCTGCATGTGGCTACAAGGAGCTATAATGACAGAGGGAAAAACTGATGTTCCCTGGGCAAAGTTGGCCCTGGGTGACAAACCCAGCTGGTCTTTTTTTTTTTTTTAAGTTAGGGTCTCACTCTTTCACCTAGACTGGAGTGCAGTGGCATGAACATGGTTCATCACAGCTTTGACCTCCTTGCCTCAGGAGATCCTTCCACCTCAACCTCCCAAGTAGCTGGGACTACAGGCCCACACCACCATGCCCAGCTAATTTTTTAATTTTTTGAAAAGACAAGATCTCGCTATGTTGCTCAGGCTGGTCTTCAACTCCTGGGCTCAAATGATCTTCCTGCATTGGGCTCCCAAAGTGCTGGGATTACAGATGTGAGCCACTGTGCCCAGCCTCAGCTGGTCTCCCTTGTCTAAAAGTTATCCTTAAGTTGGGTATCGTAAGTTGGAGAGACCTGTATTTAATTAACTATTCAAAGTAAACCTTTTCAATTAAGAGGAATTTTTTCCTGGATGTTATAATGGGAGGAAATGGAGATACTGTGAGTTTTTATTCAAATCAATATTTCTTATAATGAGAACTGGCTTTTCTCTTACTTGGAAAATAATTGTACCTATTTACCACAGCCATAGCACTAAAAATGTTCCCACTAGACAGGCATTCCTTTAAATGAAGGATTGCTTTTTACAGTATTCATCAAAAATCCAAAAATTCAGGAAAAGTGTAGCATATTTATTGAGTCACTAACATGTTCTGATTGACTATGTTTCCCCAAATAACTGGGCTCTGCGGAGGAGAAGGGAAAAGAGGCAGGAAGTGAAAGTCAGACAGACAACTTTCACCTACTCGTGACAAGGCCTGGGCTAGCAATTGGCCTTCTATAGATGTGGATGCCAGGTCCTGGGCAGGAGAGGTGCTAGGCTAGGCTTTTCCTTCAGTGTTCATGCTGACTTAAAATTTGATTCTTTCAGCGGAAGTCCCTATACCACCACCTCGCAAGATTTGTGCTGGCTGCCCCAGAGATATACCCACCAACAGTCCAGAGCTGAAGGAGGCACTGACTCATTCCATCACAAAGCTTAATGCAGAGAATAATGAAACTTTCCATTTCAAGATTGACACCGTGAAAAAAGCAAGTGTACAGGTCTGTAAATTATGCTACACAAATCGATAGTCTGTGTCAATTCCTTACTCATTTTGCCACTGATCTTGACTCTGGATTGGGAAACAGTGTACTCAGTAATGGGGATTTGGTAGATTTGAATTCCAAGTCCCAACCTTGCTACATGCTTGATGTGTGTGATCTAGGACAAGTCTCTTAGGACGTTCTCTCTGTTTTCTTTCTGTAAAGGGCTGAGGTGAGGATCAACAAAGTAATGTGTGTCAAATCACTTTTCTTTTTTAAAAAACTTGTTTATTTATTATAAAGATGTGGGGTACAATTCAGAGTTAGGTATACAAATATTGATCATGCAGGCACCCTTGTTGATGAGGTATTCCCCTCCCTCCCCTAGCACTTTCTCTCAACTGCCAGTCCCACCCCCTCCCCCGACAATTTTCCACTACTGCCAATCGCTTTCTTACAGCATTATATTTATCCAAGGTCACCTTATGAGTGAGAACACATGAACTCAGTTCTTTGTTTCTGTGATAAATCACTGAGTATGATAGACTCCAAATTCAGCCAATTTGCTGCAAAGTCCTTCTTTATGGATGCATAATATTCCATTGTGTATAAGTTACCAACATCATTCTTCTCAGATCTGGAAATGACAATACAGAAATTCATATGGAAATATAAACGAACGCGAATAGCCAAAACAATCCTTAGCAAGAGAAACAAAGCAGGAGGAATCACACTTCCAGACTTCAAACTCTACTATAAAGCTACAGTAATCAAAACAGCTTGGTTATTGGTATAAAAACAGGCACATAAACCAATGGAACAGGATAGAGATTCTGGAAGCAAAGCCTCAATTCCTCAACCAAATCACTTTTCAAACTCTGAAATGTTTACAAGTATTAGCAACTACTATATAATTAATAAATTCAGGGCTAGGGACAAGACTTACTCCATACCTTTCTGGACTCATCTCCCACAACAATATCACTCAATGCCTTAGGCTCAGCCACATCCGTCCATCGTTGTTCAGACTCCATACCCTCTTATCTCCAAGTTATTTGTCCCACTGTTCCCTCTTTCTAGGATGTGCTTCCTCCTTATAAATGTACCCTCTGGAGATTCAATTTTCCTTCCATGCCCTGTCAATGGAAGATAAAGAATGCCTTCATCTGGGAATGAGGATTCTCAGCTACACTATGGCATCTACCACTCACATTCTGGGTGACTCTGGGTGGTCTTTTCAGACTTGACCCCATCTGTAAAATGAGTGGCTGGGTTAGAAGAGCCCAAATTCCAACCAATTCCAACTGTCTATGACCAATATGTTCATGGACAGAGTCCTATTCTAGGGACTCAAAATGGTCCTCCCTAAATACAAGCTAAAGAAAAATAATCAAAATAGAAACAAGTTGTTACAAGGCAACATAATCTTCATAATCTGGTGAGGAAATTCTCACTAAAAAGTTCATACTTTTGGCTCAGTAATTGAATTTCTAAGAATCTAAAATAGAAGTCTTTATATTCAGTAATATTCAGTGCAGTTTTAATTATAACAGCAAAAAATGGTAAACTGTCAAAATGATTGATATCGTGGGAATGATTAGCTAATGTCTGGCACATCCTTACAATGGAGTGTTAAATAGCAATTTAAAAATATCATTATGAGGAGTTTTTGATATGGGAAATGTCTTGTATTATAATATTCAATGAAAAAGAAGGGCTGCTGGATATGTTGTCATGTGCCTGTAGTCCCAGTTAGAGTCTGAGGCAGGAGAATCACTTGAGTGCAGAGTTCGAAGCTACAGCAAGCTATGATCAATGCACTCCAGCCTGGGCAACAGAGTGAGACACTGTCTCTTAAAAAACAGAGGAGGGGCCAGGAGCCAAGGCTCACTCCTACAATCCCAGCACTTTGGGAGGTAGAGGTAAGATTTCCTGAGTCCAGGAGTTCAAGACCTGTCTGGGCAACTTAGCGAGACCTGGTCTCTACAATAAATCAAAGAATTAGTCAGGAATGGTGGTGAATACCTTTGGTTCCAGCTACTTGGAAAACTAAGGGGGAAGGATCACCTGAGTCCAGCAGGTCGAGGCTGTGGTGGCCCTGAGCTTACCACTGCACTCCAACCTGGGTGACAGAGCAAGATTCCTACTCAAAAAAAAGGGGGGGGGGAACTGGGGAAGAAGGGAGACATGGAATAGAATATACATTATGTTTTCAATTTTGTTATTAAAAAGTACAGAAACAATACTGAAAAGAAACAAATGCCTCAGACTATTCACAGTGATGGTTTTTAGGTGATGGCACAATGGGCTATCCATTTTCGTATTCTAATTTTCTTTGTTAGCTTTGCAACTGAAAAAAAAAGCAAACACAATATCTTAAAATAAATCAAAAACAGACACTTTTATCTCTCTACTACTCGGGCACTTATTCCTGTCCCAATGCCACCACTCTTTCTGATTTCATTGTCTCATGACCCACATTAGGCTTACTTGAGGAGATACTAATCTGTACTATTCTTGTTTGTGTCCCCCTTACTTCTCACTTTATATTTTTTATTTCTTGTGAAATGCCTTTTCCTTTATTCATTGAGACAAGCTCAGGCTGGAGGGCAATGGCATGATCATAGCTCACTGTAGCCTCGAACTCCTGGCCTCAAGCGACCCTCCTGCCTCAGCCTCCTGAGTGGCTGGGACTGCAAGAGAACAAGCCACTACACCCAATTAATTAAAAAAAAATTTTTTTTGTAGAGACAAAATCTTACTATATTTCCCAGATTGGACTCAAACGCCTGGGCTCAAGTGATTCTTCCATCTCAGCCTCCAGAGTTGCTTGGACTATAGGCTACTATATCCAACTCCTTCATTCTTTTTTTTTTTTTTGAGTTAGAGTCTCACTCTGTTGCCCAGACTAAAGTGTAGTGGTACATTCACGGCTACCGCATCTTCGGTTTGCTGGGCTCAGGCACTCCTTCTGCCTCAGCCTTCCAAGTAGCTGGAACTATAGGTGCATGCCACCATGTCTGGCTAAGTTTTTTTGGCTTATTGTAGAGACAAGGTCTCACCAAGTTGCCCAGGCTGGTCTTGAACCTCTGGACTCAGGCAATCCTCTCTCCTCCACCTCCCAAAGTGCTGGGATTACAGATGTGAGCCACTTCATCCGGCTTCCTTTATTCTTTTTTTTTTTTTTGGGTTGGGGCT